GCCTGTGACTTGAAATGACAAACAAAGGGAGAGTTTTGGGGGACGTTTCTTTAGCCTTCCAGTTTCCAAGCTAAGTCTGCCTGGAATCCATTTGATCATTATGCACTGTAGCTTAAAAAATGTGCCTGGGAAGAAAAAACCATGGCATTGCCGAGGAGCTTCACAGCCCTTTATGGCTTGTGTAAAATGTGGAGTGGCTTTGGATTCATTCCATTGAGAGAGCTTCTTCCTGGCTCTCAGAGGCATTTCTTACAATATTTATTCATTTTAAGTCTCCTTACATTTTGCTTCAGGACTTTTTAGAATTTTAAGTGGATGAGAAGAAATCTGGCACTCTCTGCTCCTGATTAAAGCAAATGAGCATGCAAACCCGTATTTCTCTCTCGTTCTAAAAGAAGCAAGAGAGACATGAAGTATAGTTGGAAGGCATTTGTTAACATTAACTACCACTGGGTAGGTTCCTTCCTTTCCTGGACTAGATTGTGCAAGAGGACTAGTGACATAAGAAGCCTTTTTGGTTTTAACTCTGAGGAAAACACAGTAACACATCTAAATGATGTATATTAGAAATAATGAAAGAACGGAGATTGCTCAGTGTCCTTCTGTTGTTAATTACTGCACTTCCTTGCAATGTGGCACAACATAGTACAGGAATCTCTAAAGCATAAGAACAGAGAAGAACATTTTAGTACAAGAGGTGTTATTTAAGGAGTTGGTTTTATGTATGGTAAAGCAAAATTAGCAAAGCAAAATTCAGGTGAAATTTAGAAAGTCTTGAAGAAATCTGGAGACCTAGGAGATCATACAGTTCTGTACACTGGGTGTGTAGATCATTACAAAGTGCCTTCTTGTTTGGTCAGACAAAGATGGAGAAATGAAGGGGACTGTTCTTCCTGTTCCACAGATGAGGGAAAAAGAAAAAATAGTCTATTGCACAAGGATAGCCTCTGGCAGTACCAGGAGTTGGATCATCATTAAGAAAACCACAGGGTACAAAATGGGAGCTTCTGATCAGTTTAGCAAAGAATTAGAACAGATCTGCTGAGCTGGCTTTCCCTCTGTACAGCAGAGGTGTTCCTGGTAGAATATTACTTCTGCAGCACTTGCTCTTCTGTAACCGAGCAAATTTTCCTTCACGGTCTTCCTCATTTGTGACTGTCCCCAAAGCAATGAACTCCCCTGTACCAAACGTAGGGAAAATAGTACAGTCCAGCGTCTTAGTGCTTCTGTTTGCTCTCAGGTTTGCTGTTACTACTTCCCTTGAGAATACAAGGGATGTGAAAGCAGCAGTAGAGTGTATCACCACTTGATGGCACCAAACAAATTCGAAAGACCATTTTAAATAGATAAAGAAGGGAGGCAACTTGGCTTTTCTGCAGTGTGAGAGAGCACCAACAGAAGTCATGCTTTTTCTGTATTAGTAGAGCACTCATAAAGCACTCTCAGCATCTGATAAACTCTTCTATTGTTCAGTTTCTTTAACACAGCAAGAATACTTCGGCACTGTTGTAGATAATGAGCAGTAGGGCCTTATGCAGGAAATTAGTAAACTAAAAATGTGTTCTTAGCCCAATGTGTTGGCTGATTTGTAAGCAAAAGAGAGTGTGCGCTTACTTGGCTAAAAATGTTCTTGTTGCCTGTACTGAAGTTGTACATCCACCATATCTCGTCCAAATTATAAACATTTTGCAACTGCAAAGTAATGGTTTAATGAAAATTAAATGAAAAGTTTCTGGACTGCTTCATTTGAACAATTTTCCAAAATAAGGGGAATTCTACTATCACTGCATTGTGTGCTGTTAGATCCACAGTGACCTTGATATTTCAGGAACTCCTTGTCTTACAGATACTCCTCTTCTTGTTCCCTGTGGGGACAGATGTTCTCAGGTCAATGACTGGAAGGATGACCAAATTGATTATTTAGCCGTTAACATTCAAGTGTACCAACAGGGAGCTCCCCTAATACTGTTATGGATGCTTCTCCTTGTCTTTTCTGAATGCATTGTAAGAATCTTGTGCTTCTCAGGTTTTTATTAGTTCTCCTAAAAATGAGTTTCAGCAGCAGACATCTGCAAGATAACCTCCTGGTCCTTCCATTAAACACACAACAATTGCTAGAGGCTTCCTTTATTTAATTCATTCTGAATTCTCTGCTTTCTGTAGTTTTAGCTTCCTTCTGTCGTTTCATCTGTCCCTGAACACATTGCCTTGCTTAATTATATTCTGTTTTGTGTTTCTTGGGAAAAGAGAAGGAGGAAGATGTTAATGCTTTTCAGAATGACCAGCAATCTCCTCTTTTCCCCGACTGTTTTTCAAATAAAGATGTCTGACACAACATTAGGTTAGTTTGTCTAGGTTAGCTGTAAAAACAGCTACTCTGTTGGCTTCTCTAGAGACAGAGCTCATTCAAGCATTATATGGATCAGAAACAATTAAAGATTGCAGCATACCTGTTTCCCTTTCACTTCCAATTCTCCTTCTACCACATCATGGATTAATGGAAGTGTGTAGTGTTGAGGGATCATGTACATTCATGTATGCTGCGTTCTTGTTGACATGGAGACGGAAAAATTTTGGCACCACTCCCCTCTCTTCATTCCCAGGCAACTGTTTTGTAATTAATTATTAGAGTTAACTAGAAAATTCTTTGGCTGAAAAACCATTTGCTTTTTATTTGTATAGTACCTAGTGCAGTGGAGACCTGGTCCAAGCATAAATGTCTTAATATTAACGTATAGTAGTTATATCTGATAGATCCTATGGGTTGTACACACACACACACACACACACTCTCTCAAATCAGTCCCAGCCCTACAAAGCTCATGCGAAGATTTTTTTAAAAGAGTTTTTATAACATGCATCTCAGTTTTGTCCCTGTTGATTCCAGAAACTTGTGTTGATTGAGGATCAGTTTCATCCTGTTTCTAGACCGCATTGCATCTCTGTTCAGCCTTTTACTGTCTAAGTACAACTTAACTTTGAAACCTTAGAAGCATTTCATCATTACAGTAGGCTGTAGCATTCCCAAGGTGCAGGAGGTATTGGAGTGCTGTCTCTCACTGTGGTGTACTCAAGAGAATAAATACAGCTCTGCAGAAAAGGTGAATATTCAAACCCATTAAAACATTCGGGTGTTTTTGTGTATGTTTGGTTTTTTTTTTTAAAGTTTGCTTCCCTCTTGTGTGACTAATTAGTAGAAAGAATGTCAAAGATTGTATCAAAAGAGAGGCCTAAGTCTTTGAGAGCACCAGTGTCATGTTTTTATAAGACAAGTCTCTTTGTTTTCCACTTGTGAAACAATATTAACCATTTAATGAAGCAACTTTAAAAGATGCTGGCAGCTTCATTGCTGGGTGCTGGTATTGCACTCTGACCCGTCTTAAATGGCTGGTGAAACAGTCTGTAGCAATTAGATAATTGTTTCATCAAAATATGATTAAATCCAAATGCCTGTAATTGATGCTTCCTGTAAGCATTATTGAAACAGGACTTTAATGAAAGCAAATATATGTTCTTGCTGTTCCCAATATTTGAACTCCAGAGGGAAGAAAATAGAAAGCAATTAGAGCAACAAAGTGGATGTTTGTAATTTAATATTCAAAGCATGCTTTTCTTTTTCTATTAAATTCTAATTTAACGGGGAGATTTCATGTGCCACTTATAAAACCGTATATTTAGAGTTTGTGTAGTTGTTTAGCTCCGCCTTTGGCACAGATGTCTTCTGCATTCTGAATGCTTTCTAGGCTGCAGTATTTTTCCAGGCTCAGTCATCTGTGTAGCCCTCAGCCGTGGGATGCAATACACAGCGATTCAGTGAGGGAGAAGGAGAGTTGGTGGCCACGTTAATCTGATAAATGTTCTGGAAAGCATGCTCACTCAGATGGAAGAGCCAACCCTGCCTCTAAATGGTGCTGCAGCTTGGCTTGAGGCTGCAAGCATCTGCACATGAGCCTAGCTCAGTCATCGGTGTTTTCTACAGGAAGTGGCAGTCATTTCAGTGCTGGGACTGAACCCATTTTTCATGCATGCAATTTGAATTGGGAAAGGTTGCATGCATCTTTGCACAGGGGTGTGAAATTCAGGCCATGACCAAGGTAGCTGCTCCTACCATTGGGCGCTTAATTGGGTTTTGAGTCTTTGTCACAGGTAAAGCTCTGTATGCTTTTTGTCACCACTTCTGCAAATACAGAGCAAAGTGTTTATGTCTGAATAAGGATGAGACAGATGAGCCTGAACTTAAAAGTATTTAATTTTACAAATTGATTGAGCACTGGAGTAGGTTGCCTGGGCAGACTGCTAAAGCCATGGCATGAGGTGTCTCAGAACAGGTTAAAGAAACATCCATGGGGAGCAACACAGACAGTGCAGGGGGGCAAGGGAGGGCTGTCAAGCGGAGCTTCTCCTTGCGTGAGGCATGCCTCACTGATGAAGCATTTCTAAAGCAAATGAAGCATGTAGCAGCCCAGGGATGGCCTGTGCTGAGGCACAATGTATTCTTAAGTGGTTGAAGTGACGCATGAATTCGAGAGGGTGGGAGACACCAGATTACATAAACTCCAAAGGTTCAGACCCAGCTGTATTTTGATATAATTTGATACTTGCTGATGTCATCAGTCATGGAGCTGTGTTGCTCTTTGACAAGACCAGCAACATGCAGTGTTATACAATTGGAAGGACAAGGTTAAAGTACAACAGTGTTTATAGCAATCTCAGTTGGCCTTCTTAAATATACCAAGCTATTGTTTTATGGTATTCATCTTTTCAGAGGAAAAGCAGTAGGATTTCTGGAAAGTGAGAGGTTTAAAATATTATGCATTTCTGTAAAGGTCAGGTTCCCCCCTGTGTACACAAAATGTATCAAAGTTTTGTTTCTCTTACTTGAAAGGGCTACCTGGAGCCCTTTGGAGAGCAATGATTCACTGCAAAGTCAAATAGAGACAGATTTGTATTTGGGATCATGAAAGGCAGGGGTTCTGAAACTCATAGTTTGTTAATTACAGAATTTGTTTCTGTGATAACAAAGAGTCATGTTGTCACCTGGATCGTTTATCATCCTTTAGGTTTCGACATAGTCCAAATTGCTGGTACTTGAGAGACTGGACCATCCACAGCTGGATCAGACAGTGCTTAAAATATGATGCACAAGACAAAGCCTTATACACATTAAAAAACAAGGTAGGTTTTTACAAGGAAAAGCCATGAATATATTTGATCAGCTTTTTGAGACAAGTGTGGCTTGCCTGAAATTCCTGTTGCAGACAGGTCCTGTAGACTGTGGTTTTAAGTTCAGTTATTTCTTTGTCAAAACAAAAGTTAATGATGCACTTGAATTTTAGGTAAAGCTTTTTGCAGCTTTTATTTCCTCTTCTTTCCAGGAAGCCTTTTGTTTTTAAACAGTGTTGGTGTCCACAAATTGCTAGATGCAGGAGAGGCATAAAAATGTGACAGGCAATGCCCCTCCTGATCCTAAAGGCTCAGATAAAATGCCAAAACAAATCTAGTACATCAGAAGTTAGAAGGCCTGCATCACAGGAGCTGTGCTGATCTCCTTGTGTTGCTTGACTAATTGTTCCGGTGCAGCAGTGTGCAATACCATGGTTCTGATCTTTCTGATACCTGCAGAGGATTGGGGAGATTTGATTTGAACAGCTGATTTTCACACTGATCTTTTTTTTCCTCTTCAGGTTCAGTATGGAATTTTCCCAGATAATTTTACATTCAATATATTGTTGGATTGTTTTATAAAGCAGAAGAAATATGAAGGTAAGAAAATAAGTACCAATTCTGCATCCTTAGTTGTATGTTCTCATATCTGCGGAGCCTTTCTTTGAATTAAAAACTTCTAGCTATATTTTCTCTGAAGTCACCTAAAAACACACTTTCTCCTTCCTTTAAACTACTTTTCTGCATGTTTGTATCTCATTTCTGTTGGGTTTTCATTATATAATTTTGAAACACATGCAATTCACATTTTGTGCTGTGATTAATCCCATTCCAAAGGTAAACCAACTTCAGCAGTTTTTACAAGTCAGATTTACATACTGATGACATCACGGGAGTAATTAGTGACAATTAGAGTGTTGCAAGAATCAAAATGCATGTTGGTAGAGTTAATCTTACTAATATTTAGCTATTCAAAAAGCTACATATCTAGACTATTTCTCTACACTTTCTGTCTGTCACTGGAGAGAGCCAGCTATGCTGAATTGCCATGTTGAGGTGCCTGTCTTTCAGTGTTGACTTTAATTGTTGAGATGAATAATCCTCTCATGTTTGATGAGAAATAATTAAGATTTTCATTTTGATGCCGGTTTTCTGGTACTATAGACTTGCAGTGAGCTGTTCTTTGCGTAAGCCTCTTGTAGAACAAATAACTGAAAGGGACAACAGAATTGCATGACTTTTCTGCAGTTTTTATCATGAAGGTTAATACATATACTTATTTTATTTTCAGAGCCCCTTTTTCTGTGAATTCCCCCTTATTCTAGCCATATTTCTTTTCTGTGGCAGGCTCAGGGACTTTTGTTTAACAAGCTGTCCTTCCTCACAGAGAGTGTCACTGGAACTCCCTGTGGAGCTCCTCCAGAGCACTGTTTGCTGTTGGTGAGCACAGTGAGTGCTGTTGGTGATCTGTGACATTTCTGCTCCATTGTACTCTCCTGTCACCTTAAGGGTGGTGAATTTAAGCCAGTCTTCTTTTGTTTGTAATCTAAACACAAGAACAAAGAAGTCATTTTTACAGATTTTTTTTTAAAAATGTTAATGATTGAAGGGCTGAGGAAAGGAGAGCCAATTGAAGAACATAGAATGAAGATGAGTTTGGAAAGCTCCTTTGCTGTGTCTCCTACTGTTCAACCTATTCTTCCTTCTCACAGTGTGTTTCAATAACCCAAGCAAGTAAGACTAATTCTATACTAGTAGTCTTAAGAAATCTTTAACTTTCTCCCTAACTACTTCAAAATATACTATAGCAATAAAGTACCAGTGAACATGAGTGGGTGCGAATGAAAACTGTGTAAATTTACACTTGCTGATTATGTATTGTTTTCCTCCATAGATGCTATGTCAGTAGTAACAGAGATCATGCTGCAAGAAAGTTTTGATGAATTATCAACACAGCTTCTTTCTCTGTATGTTTTATACCAGTACCTGGCAACCAAGTCTGAACATACGGTAAGCTGACCACACTCAAAATGATACACAAAGCCTCTGTTTCTAAGTGTCATTGTGCAGTCATTTAGGTATTCAATCTTGAATACATTTTATTTCCTGTAAGTTTACCTGGAAAAAATAAATACTCCATTTTTTTTTGTTATTCTAACAACTGCAGAAGAAGTTAAAAAAGAAACAACAAAATATGAAAGCCATCAAATAACTTCTCACCCCTTTTGCTCCTTTCTCTGAAAGGGAAAGTGTTTCAGGATTTTCAGGTGTAGTGTGTGCCTATTATGAAATGACATTTTAGTTCAAAGAGGGCTGTATCAGTTAACACAAAAAACCTGTGTCACCTATTGTATAGGACCCTGTTAAGGTGATTGTTGCTCACCATTATAGCTTGGTAATGGTGATATTGCAGCATTATAAAGCATTTTCACTAGGATTTTTACTATCCTGTTTGGCTTTGGATGTATTGTTTCTAGTATGTATTTGTTTTAAATCTAAATTCATTACATCTCTCCTGTCTCCACGTATTAGAGGTGTCTCATTCACATCTAGCTTGCTTAAGGCCAACATGACAGTTCAGGCTCTTGAAAGTGTCATTGTTCTACCTTTGCAGAAGGGACTCAGGTATCAGCAGAGGGCTTTGCCATGTCCATCACTTTAGGCAGCTACTTCTCCTGTAGTTTGGCACAAGCCTTCAATAGCATGTTGTGATCCATAAGGAAAATGCTTGAAGCTTCCATTTGTCTTACGTGAAGCATCTTCCAAAATGCATATTATAGATGCCTTAAGGTTTTAATCAGTTGGGTTTAATTTCAGTTTTCACTATAGAAAACAGAGGTGCATTTGCCCTGTTCTGTATTCTCCTTCATTCCCCAGAAGTAAAGTATGCTTGATCACTTGTATATGAGAAGCAGAGGGACCAAAATCTCATTTTCCCATTGCGTTTGTTCATGTTTGTGTATCCTCACTGCAAAGACAAGCACTTACCAATATGTGTAGCATTTCACGAAAGCTGAATATGCAAGCAAGGATGGTGTGGACATATGACATATTTAAGGCAAGCGTATTTATATAGCTGTGATTTATTTAATATGCATTTTGAAATAATCCCATCCAAAGACAACAATAAGCCATATTTTTGTATGTATACACCATACAGAGTATCATTCAACACCTCATAATGCTCAGTACCAATATTCTGTGTTTGATTTAAGAAGTGTGGGTAGACAGTTATGAGATCTGCTCAGCTACTTCTGAAAATCCCATTCCCTTTTCTCAAGGTGTGAGACAGGTCAGCCAGTGTCCTGTTGCAGACAGGCCCTTGGCCGTGGCTCAGGGTCCAGCAGCCTGATGAAATGTTTTTTAACTTTGAGAGCTGAATCTTGAGCTATCTGACTATGTTAGTCATTAGTGTGTATAACAGTGGTGATAGAGAGCTTCCGTTTTTGTGCTGTTGTAAACACCACTGAAAGCCTGACTGGTCTTGGCTCTCCCCAGAAAGTTTCCTCCTTGACTGCTGCAAACAGTCAGTATAATTGCTGCCTTCCACTGCAGAGGTGTTAACGTTAAGTTCTTGCAGTTCCTCCAGCTCTTGGAGCCAAATGGGCTACCTCCCAAAAGAATCTAGACTGCTAAAAGCCCTGTTTTTGCAGTTGCATCTGATTTTCCTATAACATTCAACTGGAGTGCTGAATTCAGCACGAAACAGCCCTATCTCCTTATATCTCTTTTCTGGGACAGGCAAATACCTTGCCTGTCTGTCAGTTGATGGTATTTTCTGTCAGATAATAACATGCAAATTCTTGTAGCACCTGAATGGAGACACAAAAAGTTGCCATACCTTGAAAAGACGTCTTTGAATAATGCATTAAACCAGAAGGTTAAACCTTTGTGCTTTTTAAGACTCAGTGTACCTCAGAGAATTTTTCAGGCGGCTTCTTCCTTTTACCAGGGATATTTGTTTCAGGACATAAGGTAATAAATAGGACACTGAAGTACCCTGCCACAAAAAACATGTGTTAGTGAGTCAGACTTCTCCAATCTGTTGCCTTTTATAGCTTCCTTTTCCTCATTTTCTTAGCAATGAGAGTTGTTCAGCTCCTTTCACTTGCAGTAAAGAGACATTTATCCATGATGTTTGTGCTTCTATGGTCTTGAAAAATGTACTGTACTATCCCATAGCAAAACAAAATTCACACTACTCTTGTGGTTTTAATGTACTTACTGATTGGGTGCCTTTCTTTAGCCACCACTGGTGGTCTGGCTCAGACAGCTGGTACCTCTCTGTAACTGGAGGGACAGCTGTGCTTTTAATCCTGGGCATACACTGGTCTTGGTGAGTTGCATATGTTCTTTTCACAGTGCAGATTTTGGACTCAGAGCAGCCATCAGCAGCATATTCTTCTCTCACCATATTCCTATTCTAGTGAGGGATAGTGGAGCATGTGTCTTGCCACATGCTTAAAAGAAAAGGCTGCTGTAGTACAGAAGTAATGTAATTTTTTTTCTTCAACAGTGTTAGCCTGAAGCAAGTGGTAGGACATACAGGACAGAGACAGAGCTTGGCCAACGTAAATCAGTCTAACCCTCTGTCCTGAAGGAAGTGCACTGATTGACTTCCATGAAAAATCTCAGCCTCTCAAACTTTACTGTCTTCTGGAAAGAGAGATGTTCTCAGTATAATGTGTACTGTTCCTCAGGATATACAACTGTAATTCTGAATGGTAGACATGTTTAATAATTCTTTACTTTATTGCTAAGACATCTGATGAAAGCCACGTGCTGTCTTTGGCTGCTGCCATTTTATGGTTGTGTTTGTCAAGGAACACTTAGTTTACATTATTTGCAGTGGGAAGATGAGAGAAATCTTGGAGCATCGCTAGTGCTTACCGGTCTAAAGCAAACGAGCACCGTGGGTTTTAGCTCCCAGCTGTATGGCTATGCATTCCTTGGTAAGTTTTACTTCCCTTACAATCATCTTTTCCCTCTTGTCTTCAGTGGCTGAATTAAATTGGCACCTTTGCTTTATTAAAAGGTAATCAAAGAGAAGACTAAGAAAAAAAAGGCAGAAATAGTGGAAGGAACAATTTCAGAGTTAAGACTGAATCTGTTTCGTAAGCCTGGAGGGTAGTACTGATTTGAACGGTATGCCCTTTATCAGACAGCTTCAGAACCTCCTTTAGGGCTCCCTGCAGGTTTGGATTGGCAGCTGAAAGAAAGAAGATTTTCTTAAAGAACAGTAGGGTTGGCTGGTTTTTGGACCAACAAATTAAAAAAAAAAAAAAAGTACAGAGTTCCGTAACACAAATTTGTCTATGGACAATAGACTCTTTTTCTAGTTAGTGAGCTTCTTAAAATAATCCTTAAACCTCAAGAAGTTCAGAGAGCATAGCCTGAACAACAGTATGTTTAGAACATCTGCTACTTACTGTAAAGTTAATGTTTCTGTCGTGAACTGCAGATAGCAGTGCTTTTATGCTGTATCTGTTAAGGAGTCTTCACCGCTAATGATACACTATATTATTAAAGAGGAGTTAGATCAGAGTATATCCAGGATTGAAGGGAAGGGGAATGGGGTAAGTTCTTTCTTTAATTTCCTCTAACCTGTAGAGGAATGTAGTGCAGATAGGTTTTGTCCTTCTCAACAAAATTATTATTTTCTTGAAAGTAATTAATTCATTTAAAACTTATGATTATGCAGTTGTTCCATTACTGCATCATATTTTATTCTAGAATTTACTGAGGATAATGAAAAGTGGACTTCTTAAAATGCAGCCTCTAAATACAATGTGTAGTGGCAGAGTTAGGATGCTGATTTGGATTTAATATGACTGTAAGACAAAAAACTCATTTGCAGTGAAAATGGCAAATAAAAGTGGAAATTAATTTGAAAGCAGGATTCTCCATAGAGCTGTAGTTCGTTATCCAGTGGAGATACTGATACAAACAGGAACTTTGCTGTCCAGTTGACATTCATTTTGGAGTGATTTTTATGTCGTATAGATTGATTGAATAGTGGCTGTATTTCAAAAATGCACTTCACTGTTGTCTGTGAGCAGTAGTACTTGTTCCATGACATTGACATTCAGTAGATCAAAAGCTATTTACTGCTATGTCGTGTATGCCACAGTCTTGCCAACACTAATGGAACCAACCTCTGAGAGAGTGAAAGATGTCTACAGGCACAGAATGGCCTCAAGCACCGCAGCGATTTTAATTTAGCCATAGTGCGTAAGCTTTGTCTGTGCACTTATTACCTTGCTTTTCCTAAACTGTTCTTTTCCATGTAAAGAAGAGTAAGGTGTGTTTCATAATTTTGTGTTGTTACAGCCAGAGTGCAAATTAGATTGAGAGCTTGGATGCGGCTCTTGTAAGCTACACTGAAGTGGTATTATTTGTTACGTTAACAATGACAAAATCGAAACCCTGGAGTGATAATCATTGTAAATTAGTACTCACCAACTGCAACGTGATGTACGTTTCATCTATTATGTAGGAGTTTTGTGTTCTCTAGTAATTACTGTCAGAAGAAAAGCCCCATCGTCAGTGGTGCTGTGCATCACAGGTCCTGCTAAAGCCAGCGAAGACCTTGTCGCACAGAATGTCCTAAATCAAGAACCAAAATTTTTTTTTGGCAGGTCTCCCATATTTCATCTCAGGAAGCTCCAACAGAAATATGGGTACTAAGCTGTATAGTTAGCCAGAGCACGTGCTGTAAATACCATACAATCTGGCCATGACACATATGTGAGTAGACCCTAAAGGCCACAGAAGTGAGTCCGGAGCCTCAGATTTAGTGCACACATGCTGCATAGTCAGTTCCTGAAGGCTGAGGAGACATTTGTCCGAGATCTTCAGACAACCTGCTCAGAGCTGTTGTTACAACTGCCAGACAACCAGAAAACATGACCACTGTTCTTTTCCATCTGGACAAAATTTCTAGGCAAGGTGGGAGGGGGAATGGAGAAGAACAAGAAACAAACATGTAATAGCTGTGAAGTTGGGCAAAAAGAAGGCATCTTAATAAAATAAGGAAATAACAGTTCTGTCAGAGCAACTTTGTCGAAGAGTGTGTTGTTTTTACCACAAAAGCCAAGACACTTACCTTCCCTTCTGAAAAACAGAGCCAACCCGTATGGATTCTGTTAAGGCTCAAGTATTGAAGTACTAACGCTAAAGTACTTTTTTTATCACAGGGAAAGTGGAGTTGAATAAAGGGCTTAGAGCTGTATACAATCTAATGCCACTGATGTGGACACCTGGATACTTGAACAGAGCCTTGCAAGTGATGGAGAATGTGGCTTCATTGTCAGGGGACAGCAAAATCTGCAAAGAAGCTGTAAGTATGAAGGCTATAACCCACTGAACAGAGGGAGTTCCATACAAGCCAAACTCCAGTAAAACCTGTGAATTCTGTGCCTTGCTAATGAGAAGAGGCCCAGCAATACTTGAGAGGTCTTTGGAAGGTAGAAGTAATGTTTAGAACTGAACAACTGCTGCAGTTGGTGGGCCAGTGATGATGTCTGTTGGCATGTCCTTAGGAATGAGTGTCTGTTGTTGCCACAAACCGTTTAAGTATGTTTCCTAAGCCTTCCACTCCCTATAGAGACACCTGCATCTGTGTCACAGGAAACACATGTCTATGGGGATGGGAAGACACCTTTGTTTCCTAAGCTTTTGAACTCAGTCAGAGACATACTTCCTAGTAGTGAGGATGAAATAGCACATCTTGTTCCTCTCCCAGCTAATTCCATGTATTCTGTGCCCTTTGAGATGATGTCCTGAGTGGTACCGGTCCAAAAATGGTACAGAGTGATTTCTAGAAGGGTTGTAGTGCCCTCAGTTGGGTCATGTGGATAGATTCGGTCCATTTGTGAGGTCAGCACTGACTAAGGGACTTGGGGCTTAGGAATGCAGCACCTGAAGGTGTCTCTGGTGGTGGGAGTCTCCCTTTTGCAAGTATGACTACTAGGCTTGTAGTCTCTGCTTTTCACCTGACAAACACAGGCCAGGACACTGCTGAGCAGGTTCTGCTATCTATTGCTCCATGCTTGGAAGCAGCTCTGTGTAATACTAGACAGTGCAAGGAAGGAAGTACCACGTCTGCAACTTCCACCATTTTGAGTTACCTCTTCGGGTATGTGGGTTTGGGGATTTCTTTCTTACTCTACATCTCAAGAACTCAGCCTAATATGCTTATGATTTTTTTTCTGCTTACAAACCTTAGACAAATTAAGAAACTTCTCAGCTTGCTCTGGGTTGTAGATGAACATCCTAGTGTTGAGACAAGGCTGCAACTGTCTGTGATACAACAGGTCCATAGAAGATCCCATCCTTCTGTGTACTGATACTGTAAAAATAGTAAATGCTAGTAGTATCTAGCAATGTTTTCTTCATAGAGACAGTTTTTACTTTGTTCAGTGAACAGCTAAGAACTTATAAAATAAGGTTGTTACTGATTACTTGCTAATGCTATGAGTGTCTGTGCAAATCCAGTAGTAGAGCCCAAAAAGCAGACCATGAGAACCACACAGAAGATTCCCTGAAGAGATACTTGGCCTCATTTGGATTTTAGGTAGCAGTATATAAACAATGGTGCAAATCACATAAGTTTCACCAAGCTGAGGACCAAGAGCAGGCCTGGATGGTGTGTTACTATCAAAATAATTTTTCTCTAATGCATTTTTGTGACCCCAGTGCAGAAAGGAAAACAAGGAAGACATGTTGGTCCATATCTTCATCTGGTGTAAAGTAATTACAGTGTATCCATTTGCATCATCTGGCCTTTTCTACCTAAATGCTTATTAAGATTTTACTCTTAAAATGCATACAAGATGTTTTTAATTGCTATTTCCAACTAAAATGCAGTATTCCTAAGGGTGAAGGACTAAGAGCACTGACCAGGTCAATATTGAAGTCAGTCAGCTTCCACTGAATTCAGCAGCAGATATGACGGAAACAACCTCAAGTGCCATAAACTTTTTTCCTGTAATATCCTGGCCTCTCTTGGGCAGGACTTGGTTGACCATTATGCAGTTCATGTAAATGCGTATCATAGCACTGAGAAGTACAGGCTATGTTATAAATTTTTGTCTTTGCATGCCTGCACAATCACAGAGTTACCTGAGAAAGACATGACCCTGGTTTTGCAAACTTGGTTCTTTTCCAAAATGTAGTATTATTTTCTGTCTGAATGAATTTTGTTGTCTAAAAGGGAAGTTTTCAAATGAACTTTTTTAAACTGCAGTTTTAGTGTAAACATTTTCAAGTGATTTGCCCAATCATTATCACTCATTCACTTTTCTTTCAGGCTTTAAGCTTTCATTCACTTCTGACTACAAGAAATGAGAGACACTACAAGGTGTCTCTTTTGTCTCTGCCATTACTATCTTAACAACATAACAGAATTACTGTTTTAGTATTGTACTGTATTGTTTAACTGTGGACAAGCAAGACATGTTTTGGGTTTTTTTCAACTGTCTGAGAAAGTCTCTAAATGAGTGTATGTATTTTGAAGCACATAGTTATTATTTCATTGCTTATTTCATCCTGTTTCAGTACTGCTAGTTTAAAGATTACATTTCAGTGTCAAGAATGTTATTTCAAATAAGCCTATTTTTTATTCCTTTAGCATTATGTATTTATGCTAGGAAAATGAAACTTAAGTATCAAGATCTCTTTTGCTTGGAGAAAGCATCACAGATTCAAAGGTTACACAGAGTTGTTTCATCCTACTGATAAACATTCAGAATTAGGATTCATGGAAGGACAGCAGCTCTTTGCATTTGTAAAAGCTGAACTTTAAAATGCAGGCAATCTGCATCCAGTAATTCCAGTTATGGAGATCATGTTATTCCCAAAACATCGGCAGCATCCATATAGCAGTTCCATCTTTTGTATCATTAATACGTACAGAAATAATTTACCAAGTCCCTTAGTGAAGCTAATGCATCCTCTTGATACAACTGCAATTAGATTAGGAGAGGGTGATTCTCTTACTACCTCGAAAGACAAAAGCATGAAGAGAATAGAGGTATCACGGATTAAAAATATACCTATACTAATGTATTATATGGCTACATTTCTGATTTTCCTGTTAAAGTATCAAACTAATGATATGAATGAATATTGTTGTTGCTGAACAGGTGATTTCCCTGCTTGTTTTCACCAAAGAGGTATTGAGGTGATCTATTAGAGATTATTTTGTTCAAACATTCTATAGTAATATCTTATTTAGACATATCTGTGATTGTGTATCATGGTAGTGTTATTATCACTGTGACTACCATTTGGCATTATTATTTTTGGCTGGGTATCAGGCCAAGAGGAGACATTGTCCTAATGCCTGACAGATCTGCAAATGCCAGTCAGTATCTGAGTCATGGGAAGCTTTACTGTTGACAACGGTTGGTGGAGTTGTTCTGTTGCAGGAGTTTAATGTCTGACCTCAAAGGTCCCAAGTACAGTACAAAATTCTTCCAAGAATAAGTCCCATTTCCTTTTAGAATTTGACTTCCTTTTTATCACACACAGAAGTAATCTCAAAATACATTGTAAATCAAAGAGTTGTTTGAAAATGTGACAGTGGTGTTACTGAGATTGTATTTCCAAACTGTTTACGCTAACAATGACAAGCGTGATTGTTTAGATGGATGCCCTGGAGACCATTTTGCAGTCTGTCCTTGAAGGAAAACCTGGTCTAGAATCCGCTGAAGAAGTGAAGGAATTAGAGCACAAGTCACAGTATGCAGAATCAGAAGAAACAGAGCAGTCTAAAGCACCCGAGTACTACAGCCGATTCAAGGTAGGAGAGTTTCATTTATCTAAATATTCTAAGTTGTAGTAGATCTCAATAATGTATACTAGAAAATACATACACTGGCTTATTATGGCTAGTAGACTGATACCTCTCAGTGCATCAGGAGTCCTACCTGGCATTTTTGAAACTGATGTCACCTTACATTTTCACTTCTTCAGACGGGAGACAGCAGCCTACAAAGACATAAATGCTCAAGGCCACTTGTCTTTTGTCTGTCTGCTGCGATTTTATCTCCACTTTTCATGCATCAAAATGATAAATCCAGTCCTGTTCACAAAAGTGGTATGTCATTAAAGATCCATTATCTGACCTTGTGTGGGCTCTTGCTCATTAAAGTGAATTGTAATAGGCGTGAGACCATCCTGAATTCATTGTCCATTTGTGTATGTTATGACTAAGTAGGAATGTTGCATCCTATACTTTCAGTCTGGGGAATGAAGTAAGGCTGTATCGCGTCCCTTCTATCTTTAGGTCATCATGCTGATGATAACAGTATGAAACACAACCAGTTGTTCATTAGGCCACAGCTATATAATGAGTCCATTTTATTTAATCATCTCATAGCTATATAAAGAAGTCATTTTCTTTCATCATCTCTGATTTGTACTGTGGTAAAAATCAAATATCCCAGGTTGAAACTAATCTGGCTTATGGTTCCTGGAGCAGTACTCTTTCCATAGCCCATCAGTTTCCATTGTTGCTGTCAACAACCTTGGACAGTTGTTCTGGATACAGGCTGTTGTTCTAAAGAAATTTCAAAAGTTAAAAGACCAGTATCCTATGGTTTCACCTCACATACACACACTTCTCCTTCCTTTAATTTTTACTTACATAAACTATTTGCCACTAATCTTTAGATAAACTTGCTTTGTAGGCACTTAGAACTTTTTAATTAAAGTGTTTGAGAATCAGTGGGTGCTCAGCATGTGATAATTAATGCCTGGATGAATTACAGTGAATTAGGTAAACACAAGTGCCCTTTGAAGGAGGGATTGAGACATTTTTACGAGTTTCTCATTGTCTATCCATTGTCTAGCCTTGAAGAAAATAATGCACAGTGCTCAAAACAAGGTGTAAATGTCAAATTGGGGACAGACTAGTGCCAAGGGGGTAGTTTTCTTCTCACCTCAACCTTTCCACAAGTTCCATAATTAATCCCGGTTCAGGCACTTCCTGGTGTGGCAGTGAGTGGCCCAACTTTGAGCCAACAAAGTACAGTCCCAGTGCTTAGCTCTAAGCTCTTACCAGGGAAGTCTGACTGTAGAATCATAGAATCATTATGGTTGGAAGAGACCTCAAAGATTATCAAGTCCAACCGTATACCCGATGCCACCATGCCCACTAAACCCACTAAACCATGTCTTGAAGCGCCACATCTAAACGTTTTTTTAACACCTCCAGGGATGGTGACTCCACCACCTCCCTGGGGAGCCCATTCCAATGCTTAACGACTCTTACAGTGAAGAAGTTCTTTCTAATGTCCAACCTGAACCTCCCCTGGGAGGTTCTTTCTATGTAAGAAAGACATAGTCCTCATGTGAGGTCGAGGCATCCAGCTGTAATTTATATGTAAATAAACTACAATTTCTGGTTGTCTGAATGAGAAAAGGAGCCCTCAAGTCAGAATGCCATTTCAGCTAAGCCTGAAAGCTCTCAGACTCTTCTCTGAAATCCATTAGGCCAGCAGCAGCCAGTCTTCCCAGTTGAACCCCTGGAGTCCTATGGGCGTACTTCACAGGGCAGAGAAGTTCACTGGAAAACCATACAAGTCTGAGAGAAGGTGGCAGCTCTGAAGCAACATGGTGATGCTGGCATTACAGCTGCTGTCCCAGCACAGATCATCTGCCCCTCAGGTGATGTAACCCCAAGACAGGATTGGCACTTCTGCTGCTGAAAACACTTTGGTTGCATTCTATCCAGCCCTGCATTAGCCAGCTTTTCCCAGTGTTTCTCCTTGAGCTCAAAACCAATTGCTTCTGTCTCCTACATGCCCAGTTCTGTTTCAGAAGTCGTACACCTGGGTATGCGAGGAAAAGCATGTGGGTTTGCTCCAGACATACAGTTCCTGTCTAGAACTGTAGCTTGTTCTACCTGGCTTTTATATACATACTTGACCTCCATGTCTCATACCAACCTTCAGAACAGCCATTTGTGGAAGTACCTGAAAAAGCTACAGCAGCCTAACAGATATGATGTGTGAGAGGGAGCATGTCCTTCACTTCCACTAAAACAAACAGGACTTGAGGGCATTTGGCATTTTCTGGATAAAGCCTTTAGAGCTGTAATTTAGCCTTTGTGCCTGACACTGGCATTCATGTTGTAATTACCTGTTTTCAGAGCCTGTATGTTGAGGCTGACTACTCAGTACAGTGTTCCTCAGGCAATTCCTTCCACCTGTGCCAGTGATCAGTGGGCAAGCATTTCATCACATAAATGCTGGGAACACCCTCTCTAAAAGCAGTGCTCCTTCTCTGTCTGCATGCAGAGCCCTGGAGACTGCTTATAAAAATCAATGATTTAGCCACTTAAGAATGTGCCCTTTTGGTCCCTGCAGGACGTAGAGCCTGGTGCTTTCCTAAATTAGTCTCACTAATGTATCACAGCGGAACAGGGAAGATTGCAGGAGCTCAGTGGTACCAGAGGTGGCTTAGGAGAGAAGTCATGCTAGTTTCGAGTTCGTTGCCTTTCTTTACTTCAATTTCTTACTGCTTAGGTTCAGTGCATAAACCCCTTTTCAGGACATCCTTGGTAGTGGTTAGTAGGGAGAGTCTGAGGGATCTAAACCAGTTATGTTTAAACTGAATGTCTAATCTGTAAACATGAGTATAGTTGTCAGGTTCCTTCCCAGATGCAAGCTGTACAGTCTCTTCATGTTTCTTACTGATGCATTATATGCTTAGTGACATCTCAAACAAAACAGAGATGAATACACCTAAATATTACTGACTTTGGTTTTAGTCCGTTAGCTTCGAAGCCATTGGTTTTGTTTTCATTCTTTATCATAAAATCAAAAACCACAGAGCCAAATACCCAAGCCGCTCAGACCTGCATGCCTAGCGTTTTAAAGAGTCTTTAATCTGCTGTCTGTCCAGTTCAAACCTTCAAGGATCTGGCAAAACACAACAAAGCTTGCAGTTGTGTTGGCTAAGGCAGGGAGAAGTGGAAAGGCCTCAGAGGGGACATCATAGTTCCGTGCATAAGAACAAGGCAGAGCCTCAAGCCAGGAGCTGAGGGGCAGTGCCTTTGCAGACGATTGCCAGCATGGGCTGGGGTAAGAGGAACGCTGTGGGCCAGCAGCACAGCACATAAACTTCCAATGAGAACTGGAAGTGGAAGTCCAAATACCTGCATGGCCCCAGAACTGCCATTTTGTTTGGAGGTGAATGATCCCCACATCTTCTTTCCATCATCCTGCAATGCAAAACAATAGGCTTTATTCAAAGGGCCCAGGAAAGAAGCACGGATGTATCTTTCTGACAGGCACTACTTACTTTAAACATTTCTGCAAGTGCTGGGCCCAGTAAAACATTTTATTTAAAAGAACAGTCAGGAAAATATGTTGCTATCTAATGAGTGAGCAAGGGGTAAAGAATCTCCCAATGCCATGTCATCTTCCTCCCCGAGGAAACTCCTCCTTGGTTGTATATCTGCACTTTTAAGGCAATTAATCAGATTGTTAGTGAGCCATCAGGCTAAAGATTGCAGGAAGCCAGAAATAGTGTCACTGGGTGATTCATTATCTTAAGTGAATTAACATTTTTATGCAGCATGAAATCTAGATAAGTAAAGCTCAAGACAGAAATACGGCATAGTTTCTTACTGGAGCTCTGCCCTTAGTTTCAGTGTAGAATATCCCTGAAAAAATATCCCTTGCTTTAGCGGTATTGTACAGCCTGTATAAACATAGTCAAGCCTCAGGTCACAGTAACTGTTGGGAAGGAAAATCATGGGAGTTACTTAGTATGCCATTAGCAAGACAGCATTTAAATTGAAGTGCATCTGTTGAGGGGGGTGCTAATGCAGGCAGTGTGGAGCAAATCATTCAATTGGTTTTGAGGTAAGACACAAAACGATGGTGCTTAGATTATGTTTATTGCTGTTGACTGGTCAGCTGATCTTTGTTAATACCAGATAACTGAATTTGGAAAAATAAAGAGCATTTCAATGGATAATAAAAATGAAACTTCATTGGTTTAGTTTTATTGCTCAAAGAAATTATTCTAGAGGTTAGTATTTCAAGAAATGGTACCAGCTACCACAGTGGAAACACTATGGTGGGATAAAATAGTTACGCGGGCTGTATAGCCCAGCTAATAGTCAGATTCAAATAGTGATATATTGATTGTTATAGGGAAGTATTCTGTGGCTGGTTATTTTGTGACTGACTGGCACTCTCCTCACTCTGCATCAAATCCCTTTTTATGACAGGAGCTGCACTCTAAGCTGCATTCACTTGGCAAGGTTGAATCTGAAAGCCTGTTAACCCTGACCACCCAGCTTGTTGAGGAAAAACTGCCAGCGTGTGAAGTGGAAGACATTGGAAAACATGAGCAGAAGCTAAAGGAGTGGGAGCAAGAACAAGCACATCTCATTGAGAGAGAAAGAGAGTTGAGAGAAAAGGCTAAGCAGGAAATGGAAGCTAGGAAACTAGCTAAAGCATCTGCTTAGTACTGGAACTCGGAAACTACTATAGTGGTATGCATTGCTCTGTCACTGAATTGAAGTGCTCACCGTTATTAATATTTCACTTCAAACCTGCTGCAAGTGTGACTATATGCGACTGCTGTATGCAAATTAAACTTTTTCCATTTTGCCTGTTTCCTGAAGTAAAGCACATGTGGTTTAGAAATCTGTTATCCTGTACGTGAATATATAATGTATATTTTCCTCTGACCATCAGCCAGGCAGAGGCTGGGATGGGGGCAACATAAAGAAACAAAGGCATAAGAAGTAGCTTGCCTGTGATGAAAGGTGTAGAGGGTGGAAGGGACAAAAGAAGAGGGAAGAATTTCAAACACAAGTTGTTTCAGTAGGGATTTCTCACAGGAAAGAATGCCTTGGCTGCTCTGAACTTCAGACACTAAGAGGATTAACATACATTGATTGCTTTTTTTTTTCCCCAACCCATTTGGAAAATTCAGGCTACTATACATGGAGTTGGAAGCCTAACTTTAGGCTGTTTTAAAATCTACTTTTAAAGAGTTTCAGCCTAGTGAATTAGCACTTGTACAGGCACTCATAACTGCCTTCCCTGTAAGGAAGTTAGAAATTTCTGGCTTTACTGGTGTTGCTCTATTCCATCCTTAAGGTCAGTAGAGAAACATGCACAATCACCTCAGCACACACCAAGGAGCTGCAGTGCCGTTTCGTTTTATATGCTGGGTGGTGTTTCATGGGGTTTTTGACCTAATTCCATTCTTGTCTCAGCTGTGTACACGGTCCCATGCCTCATTCTTCAGATTGGTAAAACAGCTAGCTATTCACACAGAGCACAAGGAAACAGCAAGGGAGGAAAGGATCATAGTGCATCAGCATCTGTCCCTGCTTACATTCCCTGTCACTGCTGAATCTCGTCAGCTGCAGCCAGCAATTTCATGAAGATCATGGCTGGGCAAGCTCCCTGAAAACAGGGAGACCCTAGCAACAGCCCTGCTGTGTTGCAGCTTGTTATGGCAGCAACAGTGTTGTCTCACTGCTTTACCACAGCATCTGAGAAGCATTTCCAGTTTTATCATACACCTGTCTAGTCTTGCAGTGATGAAACATCAGAAACTCGCTGGAAATCCAGTGAGAACACACTGCAAATCTGTGAGGTGAGCTTGTTCTAAATGTAGGAAAGCATCTTATCTGCATACACCAAATACCTCTCTTATTCCCAGCAATGCACTCGGAGCCTGATTAGCCCTTTCACATCCAAAAACTTGGCGATAAGGTACTTCACCCTATCTTGACAGCAAGTCCCATAGTTTCTCTCCCATACTGCAGTAAGAGAGTGCTGTCTCCAGGTAAGTGGATGATTTTGTGGCTTTGCTTAACTAAACCAGCAGTGGACTTTCCTGGGCAACTTTTCTCAAGTCTCCTTAAGTTTTTTTCCTCATTTCTGAGTCTAAATGCTCTCTGATTACTAGGAGAATTTAGGGAGTCTTAAGGGAGAGCAGGAGGCTAAACACACTTTTAAGAACAATTTCCTTAAAACTGGTGGCTTTAAAGAGGTCGTCACTGCTAGTCCAGCCACTGGACAATGGTGTCCATTCCCTAAGCACATATTTCAGTTCTTCAGTGTCAGAGCTTGGGTTGTACCTCCAAAGGTTCACAATCACTTCTGCATCCCTATTCCTTTTTCAGCTTCTCCCTACAGACACCACCTCTCCCTCCTAGGATCTTCTCTACACCACCACAGTTTTAGGACCCTCCTTGCTGACACATGGCCTCCAGCCTCTGCAGCTGCTGATCCTGTTGGTTATGAGACACTGTCTGGTGAGGCCACAGCGGGCACTGCCACATTTCTCCTTGTGTCTTGTTAGCATCTCTTTCCTGGCAGCACAAGGAGCCTGCTTCTGGCCCCACCTCCACCCTCCCTGACTCTGCTTGGTAGATAGACCAGGCAGCTAATGCTAATTGAGGTCCAGCAAGCTGCCAGCTGCCATGTCCCCTGCTCTCAGAGAGCGTGCTTCACTTGGCCCACAACTAACCGTGTTCTCCATTTATTTAGACTTAAGACAGCAACAGGACAAAAAAAGTCCTTTAAGGTCTGAGTGGCCTGTTAATGAATATTACAGGTTGCTTCCTTGTTTTACTCGGGGCACTGTGGGTTTGAATGCTCTGAGCCCAGTCCAAAGCCTGAACTTAGATAGTGTAGAGACAATATTTCTCTGCCTTTGCCCAAATCTCCTCCCACATCCCTCTCTGCCCTTGGGAGATGGGGGTTTCCCTGCCAAATGCTTTGCAGGCAGCAAAGCAGAAGCAGATTCTTGGCGCCAGATGAAGGACACCAAACCCAAGACCTGCAAGCAGAGGGTCCAGACCATTTGTGACTCAAGGAACCAAAAGTTTCGCCAAGCCCTCTCATTTATCTTTCCTCTCGGTATCGCCCTGAGGACGAAACCGTTTCTGACACTTCCACCAACTGGGCCAGCTGCACACCAGGGCCCCTCCTCCTTCCCCCCCATGCCCCAGCCAAGAATTTCTCCATGATCCAGTAGCGTCCATCTTGCTTCTCCACATCCCAGGTCTCACTGCTATCTCAACAGCAACCAGCTTCTGCCCAACCAGTGTTTTCTCACCTAGCAAATCCTCACATTTCCCACAAGCCTACCTGCACCCTCTTGAATTGTCCAGCAATCCTCATCACTGCTTTCCCTTTGACCTCACCCTCTTGAAGTTCCTCCCATGTATCACATTTATTTCTTCCCCTTCTCCAAGGAGGCTGGCCATGTCTCTTTGCCCGGCATTCCCATCTCAGATAGTCGTGTGCCCTCAACTCTGCACACAGCAAACAGCCTGGGGTACCAAACGATTGGGCATTCTGAGGTTTGAGGGCCCTGGACACAGCTCCATCTCAAGAGATTGGCAACATTAATTAGCAACTGAAGCTTGTGGGAAGGGAGGAAGGTATTCGTCTCTTTGGTGCTCTCTCCAACCTGCTAGCTTTGAGCTTTGAGCAAGGTCAACAGTGAGACAGACAAAGTGTGAGAGTGTAATTCAAAAACCAGTGCTGTTCAGGCATGTGCTCAGCCTCCTAAGGGAGACATGGATGGTAGCTGTGCACCACAAATGCAGCAGCATGAAAAATCTACAGAATATCAACTAACTCTGCTTGACTTACCTGCTTTTGTCATTCCCATTCCAGGAAAAGCAAGATAGACTTGGCTGTTCGCCCCGCTTGCATAAATCATGTTGCACACACAACCTGGTTTTCAGCTACTTGATGGATTACTCTTAAAAAGAAGTTTGAAGAACACTTGCAGCAACACTAAGAGTGAAACTAGGCCCCAGGTAGTCAGAAGTTCTTCTGTCCCCATGCCCACGGCTTTGTGTGCCCTCCTGTGATAGCCATCACCTGCTGTGATGCAGCTGGCCACATTTAGGAAAGAGGCAGGGAAGCCATACAGCAGCTTTTGAACTGCTGCTGGTTAAATGTGAGCTCTAATGCTAAGGGAAGAATGTGGATGTGTTTATATATGCATATAAAAAAAAGAAAATACTTTGGTACTCTACAAACACAAAAAGCCTTCTGAGTTCATCCAGTTGTGCGCCCTGGTACTCACTCGATGCAAGCTGATAACCCAGTGAGAACTTCCTCACTAGGACACTCTCAAGTTTTTTGAAATGTCGCTGCTCCTTGAAATGTTCTTTTGAAATGTTGCACTCTTTCAGACAGCTGCCTAGACCTTTCTGTATGTGGGTGGGACTGGCAAAATATTTCCTGGAGAGGGAAGACCAAAATCTTTCTTGGTAGTAATACTATCTCCTTTTTTTGGATCACCTCTCATAGAAATGTTCCTTCATATGCTGTTTTCATTTGTGACTACAGCTGTGGTTTGGATTAAAGCTATTGCAGTTTCTCCCTTGTCAATATATTTCTAAATCATAGGAGTGGATCTTTATTCGTGAAAGTTTTTGAACAGTTTCTCTACTCATTATCCTGGTGTCTGTATAGCTAAAGGCAGGGGAGAATCTCCCAGTGCTAAAGCGATACATTTGCATGCACAGTCACTGAGCTGTGCACACAAACAAGGTGACCAGCACCCTAAATAATACCTGCCTGTGCTAACGCTTACGGTACAGTATTGCCAGGCAGCATTAGCAGCTGTCCTGTGTTTCACCACGTGTGGGAGAGTCCCTTTTCTCAACACTACTAGCCAAAAGAAACAGAAACGAGTACAAATGCAAAGCCTGTTAGGTATGTTGCTGTTAGGAGAAAACCCCAGCAGTTTAAAGGTTAAAGCTCTTCCCTTTAATTCAAAAAGCAGCTTCCCAATTCAAATTCCATGTCAGACACCAAATACGCTGCTGATTAGGCACGTGGATATGTAACTCTTCCTCCCACAAGTGTCACTGGCAGAACACTTCTAGCAAAGCACTGAAGGTCATTATCCATTATTCACAAGAGGAAAATTACATATTTATTCCCTTGCAGCTCAAATAAATGTTGCCTGAAGCCTTGCACAGATGGGCTGTATTTATGGTAACACCCAGCCTTGGCAAGATAAAGTTACTAGATGCTCAGACCTGGTCAGACACCGTGTCTTACACACAGTGCTGGTACTAAGCCCCTTCCCACAGCCTCTGGTACCTGTGTCCTCCCCCAGTGGTCTGTCCCAACTGCTTGCCTGCCTGGCCTAGGGCTCTCTGGCCACCCTAAAACTGTGGAACCAGGATGATGAGCTACCCCAGCTGCAGATGAAGGTTAGCTGGTGCAAGAGGATTTCTGACCTCAGCAGCCATCACTGTGCTGCTGAGACAAGCAGAAGACATCCCAGGGCACTGGTTAGCAAGTGTCCTCTCTTTCCCCACCTCCTCAGGAAGCTGGAGTCATAGTAACAAAAGGGGGTTGCACTGTTGACTTTCAGGGATGCAAGATGTAGTCCACAGAACAGCATCCGATTCTGCAAGTACTGCTGCTGGTTTTGCTGGGGCTATTTATGTAAAAACTACAATTGAACCTTGCAAAATGTATTTCTACTGAGTATTTGGGCATATTTGCAGAAAGTAAAGTTAAATTTATCTTCCCAGAAATTTAATGATAGGGAATGTTGCGATGAGGACAAGGCTCTTCAATTGTAGAAGAGAAACTACTGCTGACATAAGTGACAAACAACCTGAA